TTAAGGCCCCCCCCCCCCACTCAAAAAAAATCAATTTTCGTCAAAATTATCGAAATTGAGATAAATGCATCGGAAGATAGCCCGTCTTCTGCTCTTTCAGAAATCATATTGGTTTTTCTTCGGCACCTCGTTTTTGGTCAAAGTTTTCGATGATTTTTGTTAAGCTCTTCTTGAAAAATATGCTTATTTTAAAAAAAACGAAAAATGTTTTTCGTTTTTTCTCAGTTTAGGCTTTCTGAATCGCGCAATCCATTTTTCTCTGTCCAGGCTCATTCAATATATTTTAATTTTTTTTTGTTTGAAAGAGCACGTCAAGATGCAGTGCAGTACAGAGTCCTTTTTTTAATTAAGCTTTATTTTTTATTATATATACAGTCATATATGTAACTAGACACCCATTTTTGGCGCGTTTTTTGAGTCATTGAACTTGTGATTCCCTTTTTTCGCTAAAAAAGTAAGAATTTAAAAAAAAGGACTCTGTACTGCACTGCGTCCTGAGATGCTCTTTCAAACAAAAAAAAATTAAATACATTGAAAGAGCCTGGACAAAGAAAAATGGATTGCCAAATGAGCTATTTTTGGCCCTTGTTTGTTTCATATCTCTGTCAAACATTAGGGTATCGAGCTGAAAATTTTATCACAGCCTCCTCACTTCAGTCCCAACATATGCTCCAAGTTTCAGCCCATTTGAACTTTCGTGGGCTGAGATCGATTTTTGAGTGGTGGGGGGGCCTTAAGAAAAACCCGAAAAACATGTATTTTTAGTCGATTTTTTGATAAATTATGCAATTTTTCGGGTTTTTCTTAAGCTTATAGTTTTGCGACGAAACATCGTGGAGAGCTGGCCTACCCCTCATTTTGCTCAGAATTTTCTCCTCTTTCAAGTGGCTATCTTGAAAAATATTTTTCTCAAAATCTTCTAGGACTTGAAACTTCGCTGGAATGATTTTCTGTAAAACTCTATTGACAAAATTTCTTTTGAAACTTTAGCATATACTCTATTCAATAGAGAATTTCAAGAGCTATTCAAATAACTATTTAGATTTAAACTACCTACTCATGTTCATTGAAAAATTTTAAAAAAAATATAGTGATTCTATAATTTTTCGCAGTAGTGTATTTTTTCCTTAGCTATATGATATTTTACCTTAAGACAGGTGAAGTAAAAGTTAAGTTGGACGATTGTGAGTTTTTTGATGCAATTGTTCGAGATTGTTGTGATGATAAATTATCAATATTACTTTGTTCAATTGATGAAGATTGATTTGATGATTGCATTAGTTGATCTTGAACGGATGTTAATTTTTTATTATTCTTCTTATTTATTGTTTTCGAATGTTTTTCTTGTGCTTTATCAATTTCTGCTAATATAATATCAGGATCAATACCTCCATGATCATATTTACATTCATAATGAAATAATTTTAAATTAATATATTTTTGTTTAATATGAAAAGGTGCAGTTGTAGTATTTGGAACATTTAATTTTGATGCAATATTACGCCAATGACGATTTTTTGCTATTTTTGAAAATTGTTCAAAACCATTTTGTTCACGAACATAAATATATAAACGATATAAATCAATAGTTTGTCGAGATATAGTTGGTAATTTTCGACAAATAACATGATGTTCTTCCCATAATTTTTGTAAACGATCAACAAATAAATTTCGTTCTTGTTCATTACCCATTTCACGTAATTTATTAAATACTTCAATTGAAGTAGTTTGATGAATTTTACGTTTTTGATAAATTTTTTCATTTGATATTGATGGACTATCAGAAAAAGATGAATTACTTGAATCAATATCATCTGGAACATAGGAGGACATGCTTGTACAACTTGGAGATTTAGATATATTATATTGGATTTGTTTAGTTTTAGAGATATTATTATCATTATCTTGAACGGATGAAAGATGATATTCATTTGTTGATGCTTGAACATACATTGATGAATGAGTATTATATGGATAAGCATAATTTGAATCTAAATCAATAACACTAGTAGATATATTGGATGAACAAGTCGATTGTAATGATGATGGATAATTATTTGATTCATTAGGATGAGATGGATAATGTGTCGGTTGAGGATAAGACAAAACTTTTCCAGTTGTAGAATTCATTTCATTTTGATATGGTGATCGATAAGTATTGGTATTCGGTGTTGAAAAGCAAGAATTGATTATAGCAGAATTACCAGATGAATATTGAGGTGTATTATTGCTATCATACATATCATCTATCATGAAAGAAAGAAAAGATTTGTAATACATGTGACAAACTTTTCTCATGTAATATTAGTTTGCTAAAGAATTTTTAATGACAAACCTTGTTGTTGTAAATAGGTAAAATATGTTTGTTGTTGTTTTGATGATGGATGAGTTGTTGATATGAAAGAAGTATTATTATAACCAAAATTTCCTATAATAAAAATTAGAAATGATAATTAGCTTTTTCTTTAAAGAAAAACAAAAAATCACCTTGAGGTGTTTGTTTTGCTGGTGTACTCGTGTTACTATTCTGATAATCATTCGATCTTGTTCTTGAATTCTAAAGATAAAAAATTATTGTTACACTCTCATGCGTAAAGGAATTAGTATTAGTTGATAGGAAACTTACTAAATCATTTATTGATGAAGATAAATTACTATCTTTCGATAAATATGATGATGACTGAAAATAAAAATAAATTTCAATGAAATTTAGCATATTTATAATTGCCACATGTGAAAATAAAACATAGATTTTCACACATCATTCACTACCTGAAGGTGATTTTCACCATAAGAAGTTGGTCCTATTGATGACTGCTGATATTCATAAGCACCAGTATTAGATGCATAATAACCACTTGAACGTGATTCACATCTTTCATAAGGTGAAAACTGAATATTTTTTTATTAGATTTTGCTTTAATATTTTCATCATAAAAACTTACTGTTTGATGAGAAGTATGTGGTGGATATGACTGATATTGATTTGTCATTGGAGGCTGTGATGTTGATACACCATAATTAGTTGAGCCTCGAATTTGATTCACCATCATCGTTTGTTGAGTTCGAGCATTAGGATTGGAATAAAAATTATTTACTGATTCGTAGGACATTTTTTGATGAAAATCATAAAATTAAGAAAACATGTTGTTGACAAGAGAAGACCAGACAACAAGAATGAAAATGTCCTTATTGCATCTAAAATAAAAAATTCTGTATTATTGAATTACATTTAAGATAAAGATCATGAGAAAATTTTATTATTAGATTAAGTTGTATAATATTAATCGATCAAATTTTTAAAAAAATTATTAATATAATAGCGATCTTGAGCTTTCCCAGAGAATTAGTTTTGATCTGTTTGAGTAATCCGCCATGATGGAATTATTTAAACCTCCATTTTTGACATGTGATTGGATAGTTCAATTACTCTTAAGTTAGAATTATTGGTTTATGAAAAATATTAATAAAAATTAAAATAAAAAGTCGAATCTTTTTTAGAATACAAAAAAATATATGTATTTATCTTTGATTGGTAGTTCAATAACTAATCAAATAATTATGCATATTTGTAATCATTCTGATCGATCAATGAATATATATAGATAGACAGTGTTCCGAATGATGAGTGCGCCATGCACTTATTGTGATTTGCACGCTGTTTTGCACTTCACTCGAAAAAATAGAATGCACTTACTGCACTCTATTATAAGATTTTTCACTTTGTTTTATCTTTTAATTTATATTGGTTTTTTTCATTTTTACAATGAATTTTCTTATTTATTATGTTTTTTGATTGAAGCAAATAGTCTTTTCTTATTCTTATTTCAGATAATGAACAAAGAACAGTCGTATAAACACTCAAACAATGTTTCTAGAAAAGTTTTTAATTCGATCAATCAGATCTTCATTCGATCAATCAAAAGAAAATTCAAATAATAGTAACAACCCAATGACTTCGAAACAGAGCTGTCGCGAGCGAGGATCACTCCTCTAATCTTTAGAAATTTTGTTTTTTTGCCTCAAGGCTTTTCAAAAATTCTAGAGAAATCTTCAAAAGTCTTTGAGAAATCTAAAAAAAATGTCTAAAATCTTCAATTATTTTCAAAGATTTCAAAAAATTTTCATTAAATTTATCAATTTTTTTCAGAATTTCGATAATTTATGTACATTTTTGAAAAATTTGTCGACCCTAGTCTTTAGCACCTCGCAACAGTTCTGCTTCGAAATTTTATTTATTTTCAGTGAGCTAGAATGAAATTCTAGATGTACAGATAGTCCTCATCGCTGATTTTATTTGTGTTAACCTTGTGATTCAATGATGATTTGTATTTGTATTTTTCTTTTCGATTCTATTTGTAAATTTTGTCACTAAATGACGATTTACATGTTTTTTTTATTATTATTTATATGTATTCATGCACATAGAAGTCTAGAGTATGGGTTATAAACTATTATTTCCTTTTTCTAGACGCGTTTATACATTTGCATTTTGTTGCACTTTGATTCTTGAAACGGAGTGCAATCGTTCACCTCACCTGCTGAAAAAGAGTGCGGGTTGTCACTATATTTCGAATTCTCATTCGGAACACTGCAGATAGGTTGTGAGTGAAGGTTGCAAAAAATAACTCTTATTTATTTAGGGTTAATACACCAAAAAAAAAAAGAAATGTTATAAAAAAATCAATATTAGTATACAAGCCTTTAGAATACAATAAATAAAGAAATTATAAATAGACAAGTAACCGGTGAGGTAGAAATAATAAGGCAATCTTGTTGTCTATCTTTGAGATAGTTAACAATCATTTTAAAATCTGATTATGAGCTAATTGGATAGAGAATTGATTTCTCTACAAAATTGTCTAATGTGTTTTTCAAATTAATTTTTCTGGTCGGCGCAAAATTTGGAAGATTAACACTTACTTAATCATCCATCTACGAACTCTTATCATGTGTAGATATCAATCAACTTTTTTCAAGTATGTACTCTGTACTTCCATAACCTTTTCAAAGTTTCTGGTACTCTTGTTCATGAGAAAAAGACTGCGAACTAACATCGGGTATAATTTTTAGATACGTTCCAAAAGATCATGTTTTTCAAAGGCATACATGTCATATGAAACGCTGATTCTCATGCCATCATATGCTGAATTTAATTCTGAATAAATGGTATAAATTGCGACTTGAGCAGCTAAACTGTTTTGACTATTTCGAATCCCAGGTGGATCATTCCGGTCATCGGAAACGGCAATAGAACGGCGAATTACTGCATCAATTTTGGCCTTATTTCGCTGCAATCCGTCATACCGTATTACGAGCCGTTTCTATCGCTAGAAAACGGCCGTCGTTTTTTCCCGGTTTTGCTTACGTAATCTGGCATGACGGATTACGGTGCCGTTGATCAACGTTTTACATTGTTAATCACCGTTTCATAGTGGTTTCAGGCCGTTTACGACGCCATTTTATTTGACCTAGGATTATAAGAGAATAATGTCATAGGCTTGTCCAAACACAGCTATTTTTGGTGTTTTCACATTTTCCACTTAAAAGCTTTTCCGCTCAAATATTTAATCTAAAATTTTGAAAACTATATTAAAACATGCAGAATTTTGTGTCGAATTTCGTGGCACACTTAAAATTCCATTATAATTATTTAAACATATTTCCATACATTTTTTTGATTTTTTGACGTTCGTAGATGAATGATTGAGTAGGTGATAATCTTTCGCATTTTGCACCGACTAGAAAAACTAATTTTAAAAACACATTAGACAGTTTTGTGGGGAAATGAATTCTCTATCGAATGAGCTCATAACCAGATTTTAAAATGAGTGTTAAGTAGGGTGTGGGTGTGGATGCGTGGCTGTGAGTGTGGATATTGATCTTGTCTTCACCCATACCTACTCACACCCCCACACCCATGAATATTAAACTACTATCATTGAGAACTTCATCTTATAAACAGATAACATATATATACACAAGTTTTTAATACTAGACATCCATCTAATTTAATAACTTTCCATTTCTTTCTTTTCTTTTTCTAGAAGAGAAATGGGAAAAGAAAAAAAGACTCATATTGCGAAAGAAAAAGAAAGTTCCAATTTTGCTTTCCTTTTCGAAAGGAAAGTGAAAGTGCCACTTGTAATCGACAGTTCATCATTATATGAACGGAACAAAATATCATATCGATTGTGAATATCGATCTCTTGTCAACAAGGACAAATATTCATATCATCTTCTTGCTAGGGAACCATTAGCTATCGCTGAGTTTTCACCAGCTCTTAATGCCACAACTTGATCAATCACACTCCTTATATATCCAGAGGGATGCGCGAAAACATACAACAACAAGAAACAATCATGCAAAATCAAAATCTACAACAAGCATCATGTTTGCGTCATATTTTCATAGTTTTATATATGTATCTGTATACTGCGTCTGTATTTCACGCTATTGGTCTGCGTCATTTATAATATATTAGTCTACACATCCCAACATTATGCTTAAGTCGTCTGATCGACTTTGGCATATATCTTGTTCATCTACATTTCTCTATTTTGTGTTGCCTTTCTCATGTAATTCGAATGTCGTTATATCTCTCTGTTAAGAAAAGATTTTTAAATGCGTTTATTATTAAGATCTGTGTACATTTTTTTATCATTTTATTGTAGTATCTTCTTGAAAATGATCATAAATTTATCACAATGTCGAAAACATGAAAATTAATTTTTTTTGCGCTGCTATCAAGTCGATTTCAACAGGAGAACGATTTCAATGATGCATGACTTATAAAGAACACTGCTCTAACATGGTTGGAATAGAATCCCCACAGTGTTATTGTTTAAATTGGTGACAGTGGCATCCAGTTGATTATCGCCGTTCAAATCACCAACGACAACCCTATGCGGATGTATGCCAGTTAAAAATGTAAGCTGCGATGCAAATGTTAGATTTCCATACCCAAGAAATACACTAACAGTATTGCTACCATAATTTTCAGCAATAATATCCACTATATTATCGTTGTTAAAATCATATACGGCCATCAAGTACAGCTGAATGCCAGTTATTAATGTGACATGTGGTGTGAACGTTCCATTCCCATATCCACGAAAAATACCCAGAGTATTTGCACCAAAATTGGCGACAACAATGTCTAGCTGATTGTCATTGTTGAAGTCACCAACAGCAAGCGAGTACAAATTATTACCAGTTGTATACGTGACTTGCGCTGCAAAACTTAGATTACCATATCTAAGAAATATACTCATGGTTGAACTGCCCAGATTGGCAACAGCAATGTCTGATGTGGCTGTGGATGTGAGTGTGAGTGTGAGTGTGAGTGTGGGTGTGGGTGTGGGTGTGAGTGTTGCTGCGTCCTCTACTCGTCCACATCCACACACCTCACCCACACTCACACCTCTCACCCACACTAGGGGTGTCAGTTTCGGG